CCCACGCCTGTCCCGCCAGGAGCCGCTCCGGGAGTGCCCATGGAGGTGAGCCCGGCGAGGAGGGTGCAGCGGCACCCCGGGCACCACCGCGCGGCTGGAGCTGCCGGGCGCCGCGTGCGGGGCCCGCAGGGGAGCAGGGGCAGCCCCTTCCCAAAGAGGGATGCTCCGTTCCCACCCTGCTCTCCCCTTCAGCCTCCCTGGTCTGGGTGGTCTGGGGTGCAGCACCCCGGGGTGTCGCRGGGACCCCCTGCCATCCTTGCCCCCTGCTCTGGCCACCGTTACCCTGCGCCGCGCGGGTGCCTCCTGTCCMTGTCGCGCAGGTCTCCAAGAAGCTGGTGAACTCGGTGGCCGAGTGTGCGGACGATGCCCTGGCAGGGCTGGTCGCCTGCAACGCGGGCATCCGGCTCCTGCGCGGGCACCGCGTGGCGCTGCGAGCCGACCTGGACGCCGTCCGCGGCCGCGTGGCCCTGCTCTCCGGAGGCGGCTCCGGCCACGAGCCCGCGCACGCTGGTGAGGTGCCCTGCGGCCGGCGCTCGCCCCGCGCGCCCGGGCTGCACGCGCGCCCCTCTGTCCCCTCAACAGGGTACATCGGCAAGGGCATGCTGACCGGCGTGGTGGCGGGCGCCGTCTTCGCCTCTCCCGCCGTGGGCAGCGTTCTGGCGGCGATCCGGGCAGTGACGCGGGCCGGGGCAGGTTGGCAGCCCGGTGGGGTGCACGGAGGGGGGTCCCGGGGGGCTTCCCCTCAGCACCCCCCGTGCCTCCTCAGCGGGGACCCTGCTCATCGTGAAGAACTACACGGGCGACCGGCTGAACTTCGGGCTGGCGCTGGAGCGGGCGCGGGCGGAGGGGGCCGACGTGCGCATGGTGGTGGTGGGCGACGACAGCGCGTTCGCCGCGCCCAAGAAGGCAGGGCGCCGCGGGCTSTGCGGCACCGTGCTCGTGCACAAGGCGAGTGCCCGCGCGGTGCCGGCGGCTGCCTCGCCGGCACGTGGAGCGCCGGCCGGAGGGGTGCCGGCGGGTTTCCGAGTGGGGCGGCGGTGGGCGCGCTGCCCTGCCACGGCTCTGCCCTCTGCAGGTGGCCGGCGCCTTGGCCGAGGAAGGGGCGAGCTTGGAGGAGATCGTAAAGGTGGTGACGGCCGCCACCAAAGCCATGGGTACGTGTGTGGGGGACCGGGTGTCATTATGGCTCTCGTGTCCTGCGTTGTGCCAGCGCGAGCCCCGGGGCGGCTGCTGCTCCGAGCAGGGCGCTGGTGCMTCCGGGGGCTGCCTTGTCCCCCGGCTCCGTCCTGCCCCAGCTCTGCAGGCCTCCTCCGTCCCCGTCCCGCCCTCCTCGGTAGCACTTTGCAGCCACGGGGCAGATAAGAGGTGCCAGCTCAGGGCGGACTTCAGCCCAGCGCAGGGCTGCCCCACGTGCGGCCCGCGTGGCTGGGGCACAGCAGGCCCGGGCTCCTGCCTCTGCCCTAGGCACCCGGGGCGTTTAACCCAGAATATCACCCCTTCTTCCTTCTCTCGCCACGCAGGTACGCTGGGCCTCAGCCTGTCCCCGTGCAGCGTCCCCGGCTCCAAGCCCACCTTCCAGCTGGCTCACGACGAGATGGAGCTGGGCCTGGGTGAGGAGGCGCTGCCTGTCCCCTTGYGTACCCAGCCTGCGTGCCTTGCAACACGCGTCTCCCCGCGCCTGCCTCTTGCCTCTCGCCCCTGCGTGCCCGGTGGCACTCGCAGCACCCGACTGTGTGGCCGTGGGGACGCAGGGCGGGCCTGGGAGGTGTCCCTGGGCGCGGGCTGACCCCGCGCCGTCTCTGCAGGGATCCACGGCGAAGCCGGCGTGCGCAGGATGAAGGTGAGCATGCTCCCGCGGCGCCTCGCCGTGTGCCGCTGCGCGCCGCGCTCACGGCCGCCGGCTCTCCGCAGGTCGTGCCGGCCGACGAGGCGGTGGAGACCATGCTGGCGCACATGACGGACCCGGGCAACGCCTCCCGCCTGGCCCTGCGCCCCGGCGAGTACCCGCAGCGCCCGGCCCGGCCCTCGCGCGGCCACGAGGCGCGGGGCTCACGGCGCGCCCGGCTTTGCAGGCAGCTCCGTGGTGCTCGTGGTGAACAACCTGGGCGGCCTCTCCTACCTGGAGCTGGGCATCATGGCCGGCGCCGCGGTGCGCGCGCTGGGTGAGTGGAGCCGAGCGGGATGGGGGCAGCAGCGGGGGCTCCGGGCTCTGCCTGACTTGTCCTGTGCTGGGGGCCCCCCTGGCCTGCTCACGGCCACCCTGTGTCTGCAGAGAGCCGGGGCGTCCGCRTCTCCAGGGCCATGGTGGGCTCCTTCATGACAGCGCTGGAGATGGCCGGCGTCTCCCTCACCCTCATGCTGGTGGATGAGGAGCTCCTGAGGCTGATCGGTGAGTGTCCGCAGGCAGGGGACCCATCAACTAGGGCTCCCCCAAGGCACGGGTRTCCCTGGAGAGCTGCTGAGCATGCRGGACTTACAAGTTTCTCCCTTCTCTGCCCTAGATGCCAAGACCACAGCCGCGGCGTGGCCCAACCTGGCCGCAGCACCCGCGACGAGCCAGAGAGAGGAGGTGCCGGCGCCGCAGGAGGACGTGGAGACGGYGCAGCCTGAGCCCAGCACGGGTACGGGCAGCCGCAGGACTGCAGGGCACGGCCGGCAGGTCCTGCCGTGCCGCGTGCCCTGGAAGTTGTCACCTCCCCGTGCCACGGTGGCAGCACGGCGTGCTGGGGCTGGGCGCAGGGCCCCCGTGCCGCTGCCCGCCGAGGGGGGCACGTTTGGGACGTGGAGGCCCAGGCCCAGGTTCGCGCTGTGCAGGGCCCGGCGGGCAGCGGGCACGGCTGGTGCTGGAGCACGTGTGCAGCGCTCTGCTCCGCATGGAGGACAAGCTCAACGAGCTGGACCGTGCTGCGGGTGACGGGGACTGCGGGCACACGCATGCCCGGGCAGCCCGAGGTGGGTGCCAGCACTGGGGACGCGTGGGGAGGGGGCTGCCCGGCCATCCCCTTGCAGGATGCAGGGACACCCCTCAGACATCCTTTCCTGGGGCGTAGGGCCCCCCCAAGCTGTTCTCTGCAGCTGGCAAGTGGGGTCTCCCCGTGATSAATCCCTTGTTGGGGACCCCCAAGCATCGCCTCCCTGCGAGGCGCAGTTCCAAGGTGTCCCTGCACCCTGCCTTGCTCAGGGCTGGCAAGGAAGCCCCAGTTTGTACCCAGGGGATCCCCTGGGATCAGCAGCGAGCGGTGCCCGGCTCTGGCGAGAGGAGCTGGGCAGCCTCCCGCTCGGCGGCCGGAGCGTGCGCGGCAGCCGTGTCGGCACCGTGTTCCCGCAGCCATCCAGGAGTGGATGCGAGGCCGGCCGCCGCCGGCAGCTCCCGCCCAGCTGCTCTYGGCGCTGGCCAACCTCATGCTGGAGGAGATGGGTGGCTCCTCGGGGGTGGTGAGTGCAGGGCCGCCGCACACCGTGGGAGCGGCGGGGCCGGGCCCGTGGCCCCCGCGGGCGCCGGGTCGTGGCCCCCGCGCGAGCTGGCGTCCCCGCAGCTCTACGGGCTGTTCCTGACGGCAGCGGCCCAGGCGCTGCGCGGCCGCAGCGACCTGCCCGCCTGGGCGGACGCCGTGGACGCCGGCATCGCGGCCATGCAGCGGTGAGTGCCGCGGGGCCCGCGGGCACCGTCGCCGCCGCGCGGCTCCACCATTCTCACCCCGCTCCGTGCAGCTACGGCGGAGCCGCCCCGGGCGACAGGACCATGGTGAGCGCGGCCGGGCCGGGAGCTGCGCGGCGCCGCTTCCCTCCGCGGCCGGCCCTGCTTCCCAGCCCTCGYGCCCTGTCCCCTAGCTGGACTCGCTGTGTGCCGCCAGGGAGGCCCTGCAAGGCCTGCGCACCCCCGGTGCCAACCTGCTGCAGGTCCTGAGCGCGGCRGTGCAGGTAGGAGGGCACCGGGGGGTTGCAAGGGAAAGCGTGGGAATTGCCGTGCCGAGTCGCTGGGACCCACAGCACACCCAGGCTGGGGGAGCACCGGACAGGGCAGCCGGAGCGRGGAGCCCCAGGCGCCCCCGGCGCCGCGCCGGGTGCCCGGGCGCGTCTCCGAGCGGCTGCCGTGTGCTTGGCAGAGCGCCGAGGCGGCGGCGGAGGCCACGAGGCACATGGAGGCGGGCGCGGGCAGAGCCAGCTACATCGGCTCGGCGCGGCTGCTGCAGCCCGACGCCGGCGCCGTGGCGGCGGCCGCCGTGCTGCGGGCGCTGCTGGAGGGGCTGCAGCGCTGAGCGCCGCTGCCCGCCGCCCTTCCCGGCGCTCCGCGGGCCGCGGGAGCCCGCGGACCTTCCCCGCGTGCCCCTCAATAAAGCGTCGTGCAGCCCAAATGTCGCCCCGAGGGTTTGGCCCCGCAAGGAGGGGTCCGAGGGGATCCGGGCTGGCAGGGATGGAGCAGTCCCTCGGGAGGGGGACGGAACCCCGGCTCCCCTGCGAGCGTGACGGTGCTGAGCGGAGGAAGGAGCCTGCTGGGCCCTGCGCGAGCCCTCGCACGTGGCCCCTGCTGGGTGCTCGGGAAGGGAAGCCACGGGGCACACATGATCCCAGGCACGAGGCCCGTGGGAGGTTCCGAAAACAGGAAAAATAGGAACTGGGGCAGAGCCCAGGACCGCTGGCTTATGGCAGGGCCTGCCCTGGGCTGAGCTGCACTGGTGCCACAGCAGCAGGGCTGGGGGCTGCCCGGGGGCCACGGTGGGCACAGCGACCCGGGGACGGGCACGGGGCTGTGGTCTGCGCGAGTCCCAAACGCCAGAGGGAGCAGGGAGGGCCTGGATGGGCGCAAGGGCCCGTGCAGGGAAGAGCCAGCGCTGCCTCCCCAAGGAGACGTGTCTGGAGGGGCAGGGGAGCTCCCCGACGCAGCCCACATCTCTGCTGGCCCCGCACACCAAAGGCCGGCAGAGCGGGTGCGYTGCAAAAGCCGGGGCTTTATTACCCATCCACCATGACGTTCGGGGTCTGCTGCCACCGCCAGAGCCTGCAGGGCAGCCGGGAAGGGGCACGGAGCGGGCGCTGGCCGGGGRCAGGACCTGCGCCCGCAGCCCGGGTCCTGCCTGCTCCGTGCCCGCGGCGCCGGGCGCCCCGCGCTGCATCCGCGTGCTGAGCAGCCCGTGCAGGCCACGGCAGCGCCGTGCAGGCCACGGCAGCAAGGCCTTGGTGCCCTGCGCCACGGCGCCGGCAGGGTCTGGCCCGGCACAGCCTGGCGCAGGCGCTGGGCGTCCCATGGGAGCCGGATCCGTGTGCTGAGCGAGGCCGGCGCGGCGCAGCCGGGGAGCTATCCCTGAGACAGGCAGGAGGCCGAGGCTGGCCCGGGGGGAGGCTACGGATGTGGCCCCATCCCGGCGCTGTGCCCCGGGCACGGGCTGCCCTCCAGCGTGACGAGGAGGGAGCCCAGGGCCCTCCTGGCGCGGGCGCAGCAGCTCCTGGCGAGGGCAAGGCGGCGCGGGGGCAGCTGAGGCRTCGCGGAGCTGGGTGCTGGCGGTGCTGGTGCAGGGGCCTCAGTGCTCACCACCGAGCAGGGGCTGCAGGGAGAGCGCCCGTGAGCCTGGCACGAGCGCATCCCGCTCCCCCGGCACCRGCTTCCATGGAGCACCCGGTAGTACCTGGCGCGTGTCGGCCGCCTCCGCCTCCGGGCGCTTCCAGTCTGGCCTGGCCAGGGCCCACAGCACCAGCCCCCCGAAAAGCAAGATCAGGAGGCCCAGCGTGTTGGCAAAGACCGCCTCGGCGGGCAGCYGGGCATACGCCGCTGTCCCGTTTTTCCTTGGGGACACAAAGGCAACAGTGAACACCCGGCCGCCACGCCACGCTCGGGTGCAACGCGGTGGCTCCTTGGTGACAGGAACCCCGCCGCCGTGCGGCACATCCGTGGCCACCCGTCCCCGGCCGCGCAGCCGCCCTCCTCCGTGCGGCAGGTCCCTCGGGAGCCCGGCTTCCTGCGCGGGCTCCGGCTCCGCGCCCGGGCGCCCTCCCGCCGCCGGCCCTGCCCGGAGCCGCCGCACTCACTCACTCACTCACTCACTCACTCACTCACTCACTCACTCACAGGCTCAGGAAGAGCTTCTCGTTGATGCCCGACACGCACGAGGCCACGGCCAGCACGAGGATGGCGGAGCCGAAGAAGACGTGCACGGGCTTGTAGAGGGCGCGGAGCCAGGCGGGCGCCCAGGGCAGCAGGAAGGAGGCGAAGCCGGCGAGCCACTGCGGGAAGGGGGTTGATGGGCATGGAAAGGGGGTC